ACACACACACACACACACACACACACACACACACACACACACACACAAGAACACAGATCTGCAATGAGATAGCCACCCGCGGAGTCTGCTATGGTAGACTGCACTACATGAAAAAAATAGACAGCCCCAGTGAATAAGGAACATCACTGAGCATATTTTTTTTCCTTAAACTGAAGAATCTAAACATGAGATCTCTACAGCTATCCGACCACCACAGTGCACACGGAGAGTTGGTTCACCACCGTCGACTTAAAGGACGCATATTTTCATGTCAAGGTGGCTCTGAAACAAAGGAAATTCTTGCGTCTTTCACTTTCCAGGGAATAGCCTACCGGTACAACAGGCTGCTGTTCAGCTATTCTGTTGGCTCTCCGCAACTTCAGCAGATGTGTGGATGTGACACTGCAGCCACTGCACGACCGTTGCATGAGTGTCTTCTTTTATCTTGAAGACTTCATCATCATGGCCAAGTCCAGAGAATGCGATATGTTCGACAAGGGTCAATTGGTCTTACTCCAGTTGAGGTTTGCGGTCAACTGGAAGCAGAGCACAACAACCCTCAGCCACTCCAACAGGTGGCTGGGGGTTGTGTTCAATGTGTGCAGTTTGCGGTCCACTCTATCGGAACACAGATAAACAGCCCCGCAGCAAACAGTTGGCAAACTGTGTGATGATGACTGTATTGACCATCATGCAGATTTGCAGTGTCCTTGGTCCTCCACCACTTCAGGCCCCTTATATGGGGGAAACACGTGATGATGAGGACCAACAACTGCACCGTGGTGGTCTGCACAGGCAGGGCGTGGTTCAGCCCGCAGCCCTGCTGGGTCATTCCTTGACTGGAGAACAGGGGTGCCCAACTCATGTCTAGAGGCGGAACCCTACCAGATGAGTGGAGGCTTCCCACCAAGGTGGTGAAGCAGATTTGGACATGGTTCAGGAAAATCCTGATCCACTCCTGAGGGTGGACACATTTGCACCAAAGTGCCATGGCCAAGAAAGCCACTTTCCCCGCCTTTATCCGACTCATCCCTTACATGTTGGAGAAAGTGAGGGAGGAGCAGGTGTCCAAGCTAGCCACTCTGCATCGTGGTATGCAGAAATGACTCAGATAATGGCGGGCCAGCCCTGGAACATCCCCCAGTTCTGGGGTGTTCTGTCTCAGGAGGCTGGTGCGATAGGCGTATTGCCCACTCTGGGACATCCTCTCCAGGCTTTGTTCCTGAGAAGGATAGGCTGAGGGGGTCTGTTGACTCCTGAAAGGTTAGGCCATGGCTCTACCAGCTAATTTACATACTACCTGACTGCGATGACTCACATCTAGCTGGTCAAGATTAGTGTGGTTGGGTCTGTGGTATGTTGCAGCAGGGCGTGCATTAATCGGGCTCTTCCCACCATGCCCATAGAGTCCAGTTGAGGACAGAGCCTGTGTGAGTTAGAATGGATGTAACAGTATTGTAACCCCAGTTATATAAGCAAAAGCAGAGCCCTCGACCAAGGGGGACCTGTCGCTCCTACGTCACTCACTGAAGAGGGTGTAGGATGGCAGACAGCTGGGTGTGCTGCATTATATACTGCGGGGTCCACACGTACTTGCGTAGAGTCCACTATATGGCTCTACCTGTGCTTATAGAACTAGGGTTACAATATTGTAACCTTCGTTTTGATGAATGATCGCGGTCAGCTCTCATTGCTGTGACAACCGCATTGTTTTATTGCTTCACAGTAACAGCCATCCCATGTTTCGCCAGTTGAATGCTTTTCATGTAAAGCAGTATGCATTTGGTATGCATTAGCAGTAACTTAATACAGCTCTGATACAGCCTTGGGACAGTGAACAGCAAACAATGCATCGTTTCTTGTAAATCCCTCACATATTTGAGAGCAATTCGATTTGAGTGCAGGAATGGCAGACTCCGCCTGTTACAATGGAAAATATGATAATATGATATGATAAATAGCATCAAAAACAGGGCTTGATTCCATGAAAATCCTAAAGATTATAACTTGAAAGCTCATTGAGTTAACAGCATCCTTGTTTAAGACTAACAATGATACACTAGTTTAAACCAATGGGAACAACAAATAGCCAATTCATGTAAAGCTCACTGTTGGTAATATAATAACAGTTAAGTTTATAATTCTCCTGCTGAAAGTTTAAAGGCAATGAAAGTCCTTTGTATCAACTGTAAAAACAACAGCGCTCTGAATCTCACTATTTCTTTTCTTTTCTTTGATCACCAACTTCCACACCAAAATGAGCCCTTTATGTGATAAATAGATTAGTGGTTCACTCTCCATTGTCAATAGTACAGGTAAAGTAATAAATTATGATGAGACGATAAAATAATACTGATGTTCAGGAACACTTGGGGAAAGTGAGAATCCCTCAATGGATAACTACTGAGCGCAGTTTTTCCTTATTTGCAGACAATGCATTTCTCACAAGGGCCGAAGCAGAACTTGAACATCTGTTTCAGGTCTGCAAATGAACACAGACCAACTATGGAGTTGTGCTTACTGGGAAAATGATTTCCCATTTGAAATCCAGTGAAAAAGTTGAAAGGAATATATTCAAGTCAGGGCCATGAGACAGTGGTTGCCCTGTAAAATGTGGCATGGAAATGAAACCCTACACCGATTTAAGTGATAAAGTATGGGCCTTGGACTTTTACAGAATCATGTTTTCAGAAGAAGTCATCATGTGCAACAGCTATGGTGAAACATGATATCTTCTGCCTAGTTTTCCATCCGTGATCTCTGTATTTCTCACTTTCTCAGTCTCTCCTGTCATCTCTTGTTACTCAGACATTTCTTCTGCTTTTTATGGAGGTTTTTCATTTAAAAAAATTGCTGGAACAAAAATGGCCCTGAGAAAACCAATCATTTAAATATTCTTTCATCATACATCATTATAGGTAATGTTGAATTTTTTGTGTACAATTTAAGGTTTGTCTCATGTCTGGATTTGTACCTAAATCTGGTTTACCAGCAATTTACCCTTCCCCATCATTAGTGAAACTAAAGCTTTTTCCATTTCAGCAAACACTATTCTACAATTTTAAGATTTTTAGCATTTTATCTCACGAACATAAAACATAAACTCAGTGTTGATAAAATTACAAGAAAAAGATTTCTTTGATTTCAGGAGGATAGATTGCAGTCATCTTGTCAAGTAAAGTCAGATGGCGATTCGTTAAATATGCACATCTATTGTCATGATAAATCACAAAAAGCAGGTCGTTAAATGTGTTGCTAGAGATACCTGTGTGTGTGTGTGTGTGTGTGTGTGTGTGTGTGTGTGTGGGAGGTGTGTGTGTGTGGGGGGATTAAGGGCATTTTAGGCATTTTAGCATTGTACCTGTTTACGGGCTTCCCAGCAGGGGTGTGCTCCACATCATATCCCTGGCGACGAAGCACATCAATGACTGTATTGTTGCCAAGAAAGTGACCTGCGACCAAAAAAAGAAAAGTGATGACCTCCCCTTCCAAATGCTAATGATTAGGTACTGCAAGCAAATTGACAGAGCCAGGCTAGTTGTTTCCCCGGCTTTTAGTCTTTATGCTAAGCTATGCTAACCACCTTATGGCGCATTATCGATCTTCTCGTCTAAATCTTGGCAAGGAAGTAAATCAGGTTATTTCCCAAAATGTTGAACTATTTCTTTCCTCTTGCATCCTTTCATACTTGTGCTGTGTCCAAAACAATAAAGTGCTCGACTTTTCTTTGCTTTCTATTTCCTACTTTTACACCTGCTGATTTACACCCTTTCCATTCAGCACCACCTCTCTTCAGCTTTTTCCTCTGCTACTTTTGTTTCATAGACTATCCTTTGTTTCATTTCTCTTCATCTCTTTGTCTCTCTTTCTCTGTCCTTGATGATTCTTCATCCGCCCTTATATCAGCCATTTTTTCTCCCTCCTCCATTTTCATCTCTCCATTCTCCTTCTTCCGTATCTCTAACTTCCCCTCTTCCCCTCTTCCTCGCTCCTGACCCTCTCAGCTCCGGGAAGTGGGGGCATTGAGGCTTCAGGTTGCCATGTCAAGAGGTCTCCATTCTTCCCCTTACTCTGACAAGGGGGAGCAGGGGCCCATTGTTTGGGCCTGTTCGGCCGTGGCACCACAGAGCTGTGTAAACAATGAGCCCCGGCACTTTAATCTGGCCCAGAGCCATCGATAGAGAGAGGTTGGCCTCGATTCACTATGGGTGCCATCATGCTGCCTCATCTCTAGAACTAATAAGTGTTGGCTAAAACTATGTCCCAGTGTGTAATAACCATGGAAGAGGACTGAGGGGTACTACTGAAAAGTGCAACATTTGACAAAATGTAATAACCTTTTTAACTAGTATTTTTGGTAAATGCAAGTGATGTTTGTCTGCTTAGCAACTCGAGGAACACTGTCCCAAAATAATAAAGTCTGATGGACCCTTTAAAACCTGATGGTCAGGTGGTGAGTTAAATGAATAACCAGCAGCTTTTAAACTCTCCGTGGGACTTGGAAACCAGACAGAGAGACAGAGTTTCCCAGCCTGCCCACGTTTAGAAACAACTCAGTGTGATTTATGTGAGTTTACTTCAGAGGATTAAGGTGGGACAAATGAAGCTGTTCGGCACAATGTAGGGCCACAGAAGGGTGGGCGGAATTCAAAACTTCAAAGGGACACACACACACATACAAATTCGTATACACACGCAAATTTTAATAGGAGGTAAACCATCAAAGCTGATGTGTCCCCAAAGGATTCAATGTGTTTTTGGGGACCGAGTCTGGAAAAAAACCTCTCTGCTATTATATGCTTGAGACAAGAGAAGGAGATATTTAAATAACCCTTCGGCACAAAACAAAAAACAAACGAAACGGTTATAAGGGGTCTGATGAATTGCCAAAACAAGTCCAAACCCCACTTCGAAAAATTGGAAGAAGCTTTTTTTTAGGAGATCAAAAATGACACCCTGTTTTTTTGAGAGAACCTATTTTGGGAAAAAAGTTATGGAAATTTGACAAACAAAAGACTAAAGGATGACTTTAATGGAGGTAATTTGTTATGACCAGCAGTCCACCTTAACAAAAAAAAGGTTTTTTACTTGGAAAAAAAAGGCAGAACCTGCAGCCGGCCTTTGCACCGATGTCACGGAATTAAAAACAACAACGAATTCAGACACCTTTGATTAAAAATGATTGATGCCACGGAAAAAGGCAGAAAGTAGTAACAGAAAATTATGTTTTAGAAGGTCTGCATTTTCCTGAAACGAGGCCTTGTGTATGATGTAGCCTTTGGCAACTGACCCGAACTTTGGGGCCTAAATATGTCAGGTGATTCGTGACAACTACATCTCTCTGTTTCTCTCTCATACTGCTAATACTTGCTACCAAGTAATACATTAGTCTGTGTTTCTGTCAGAAAGAAAGAAACCTCATGCAATCCTGGATGAATATTGTTCCTCAGCCTATGGAAGGGCATTCATTTTTTCTGCAGAATACAAAAAAACACTATCTAAATAGCAATGTCTGTGCGGTCAAACACTGAGAAGACTGTGGTGAGAAAACACCTGCGCCTCCTTTTCCTACAGCGACACAGCAAGCATCAATGCCTGGGTTAGTGAGGACATTTTTAGATCATTGGGAGCCACACAGTGACTCACTGCACATAGCAAAACTACTTCCACATTTAATACTTCTACATTTGCTTCAAAACAAAACACACATGATAAAAATGCTAACATTGTGGCGCTAACTCGTAAATAAAGTTGCATTCTTCCATGCAGTGTTAAGTTTAGTTCTGCTACGCTGGTTTCAAGGAAAATCAAAATATAACAGACATTTTTTCTGGTTATTGGTTTTCACATGGCAAATCTAAATAAAAACGTTTCTTTGTACTCCAGCTATAAACATTTGATGTTATTGCTGAGTATAACTTCCCTCTCCACACTACATAACGTCAATAAATAAATTCAAATTGATTTGATTTGGACATTATTACAGTTTTCCAAGTTAAGGCCCAAAATGTGTCACATCAGTGTTGCTTTAGGTTCCCGACATAAGAAATAGAAGGAGTCATATCCGTTCAGGCTCCTACTAGAAACTAGAAACAGGCCTGCAGACCATAGTTGAGGCCCAACCCCCTGGTTAAGAAGCCCACTTCTGGAGTGACATCTGACATATATTTCCACAGATTATTTATTTAGGCCAATTTCATACATTTTAAAACTATAAAATATCAAAATATGTACATCAATGCACAATATGTAGACTGTATGTCTTTCCAGGAGCAGTGAGATGGCAGAGATAATGACCAGGGACAGACCTGAAAGCTCTCATTCACAGCTAACTCCCTACACGCAGCGACATTCATATATGGCACCACTGAGTCACAGATTAGCTCATGTCATGGTTATAGAAACTTACAGAGTTGGTATGTGTGGTACTGAACTTTTCAATGAAGTGACAGCGCTTATAACAGTCTATAAGTGTCGACTATTTGGAGGAAACACAATTGCTGCCTAGATCCAGGAAGTGGGACTTTCTTATACCGCACAGAAGTTGTGTGGGAGGTGAAGGTACTGTTGGACTGTAAGGCTGCATGTACAAAGCACACAACTTTTACACCAGACACCAGGGTTCATGTCCTGTGCTCCATGTGTTATTAGCATAAGGATTCTAAAACATTTGGTTACTGTTGCGGAAAAATTGTTTTACTTAAAATAACCAAAAAAATCTTTGCAAAAAACAATCATTTTGCAGATACTGTACTAAATTCATTCTCCACCCTTCAAATATAACAGTTGTTTTTTTTGTGTGTTTTTCTTATGGAGAAAAATTGGACTACAAATTGCATTTTGCAACCCTGTTGTACAGTGACAAACCCTTGCCACACACATGCCGAAGCAAAGTTGTTGTTAATTAATGTAATTTTTGGAGACAGGGGTTGATAATTGAAATAAGTCTACTTCTTCTATATCACATCTGGAATTGATGATGCTGGCTTTGTTTTTAGACTTTTTATGAATGTCTTTTAGCATGAGATGATGTCACTTGACTTACAATATAAGATTTGCATGTAAAAAAAACAGTTGAAAGAAATGGAATTGTAAGTTAGAAAACAGGTCACTTATGTTGTAAGGAAAGTGAAATTATCTCGTTATCGGCGTACAGAAAGGTTTCCTTCAAGTTAAATACAAACCGTTCTGCACACCTGTACTTAGTAAGAGGAACACCAGATGAGAACCACAAGAGTATCCGTCCTTAGGAAGACATCCAGTCTCCACAATCAGCGGCTCACATTATTAAGAACATATGGTAAGTCTTAAATAGCGTTCCTTTTCCATACACATCGATATTTACATTACAACTTGTAACCACTGCCCAAGCAGCAGTTCTCATAACATTACGGCATGTTGGATAAACAAATGCTACAGGCAGTACCGAGGCCATTCTGAGCCCGTGCAGCCATTGCTAGCATATTCCCTGCTAGTGCGCTATTACCACCACGACTAAGATCTGAATAAAGATGACAGTGAGGTGTCTGGTACTTTCTTTAGTCTATAGTGTTTTAGTTGCCAATAACATGAAGCCACAAACTTTTGGCTTGAATACGCCTTGCCACTGGCCAATTTCTATTCTTGTGTAGATATTTGACACGGCCGTGGTTTTAGGAACATAAATTACACACGCAGGAAGAGAGCTGTTAAAAAAAGAGAGTTAAGCTACTCAAACTATTATCAAAACTAAATAATAGAGTGACGTTTAGGATTTGACATTTCTAGGACATCGGATGTACTAACCAGCCAAAGATTTTACTGGAAAATCATTGTATTGGCTCAGCGAGTTGCTAACAGTCGAGCAAAAGCTCAGGGTCTTCAACAGTCAAGGAGACGAAGCCATCCATAAAAGTGACAGGCATGTCAAAGACAAGTAACAGAAAAACTATTGGTTTTCCACTGGCATAGACATCACACAGCCAACCTCCTGTTTTGCAGCTAAATGAAGGCTCATATCAAATGTCTGGAAAAACAGGCTCTGCTTAGATAGCACTTCTTCTTATTCCTGCTTAAATCATACTGTTTTAAGTCTTTGATGGACAGTCTGTTCACCCCTCTATTAAAATCTCAACCTCACCTATTAGCAGGCAAGTGCGAAAGGAACAGGGCACTGTTGCTCTCAGAAATTAGACAATATGATAAAATACTATCAAACAGGTTGAGAGTCATTATGAGGTATTATAATGTAATCTATCAGTCTTTACTTCATTCTTTAATCATTTGTGGTAAAATACATCAAATTTTTGGTAGCATTCAGTTGAACATACTGTATTTTTGTACAATCATTGAAATCAGCTCTTGGCAGCACTAGAGTAGTCATGGGATTACCAAAGTCCTTTGGATTCATCCTATTGGGACCATGAACGTACACAATTGCAATCTGTGAAATAGCTGTTTCGATGTTTCAGTA